GTTTTTTCTGTTTATGAGGTACTGAGGAATTAAACCTAGAACTTCATGCATGCTAGGTAAGCACTGTACCACTGAGCCACATTCCTAGCCCCTCAAATCGAATTTAATTGTTAGATTTTCCTGTTTTCTGAGGTAAGTGATTTTTTAGCTGAATTTTAGAATAATGTGTTTATTGTGGAAAGAAGCAAACAATTTCAGATTCAAGCATGAAATAGTCAAGATTAAATAATCAATTCATAGCTATTAAAGAGAACTTTCAAGTTGTAAATTATTTGCTTCAGTTGTCCTTTTTTGCCTTGAAGCCAATGTGTGACAGTAGACCACCATTAGGATCAGGCCTAGAGCTGTGTAAACTACAATAATGAAGGCATATCATTTGCTCTTTATAGATAGGACAGGGCCTTCCTTAGGCAGCATCTAAAGCATGAACAAATGTAATGTTCTGTGTAACTTGTGAGTTCTTATTCTGTAATCTATAATTTTGTAAAGTCTAAATAAGTGTGAATCTGAGATCAAGCTGCACTGATCCATCTTCTTTCTGGATTAAAGATAATTACTGTACTTTTTGGAGAAGTTTGGATTTTAGGATTTATATGTTTCCAGAAGTATTGAAGTTCTTGAGAGTTGGTTGTTATTCCTTTCACTTCATTCTTTTTGAACAAAACCAGAGATATGGAAGACTGGAGGCTGAATGGGAACTAGAGATTGTCTTTTAGAGAAAGAAGTGAAAGAAAGTTTTGAAATTTAAGTATGACTTTAATTTCAAAATTTGATATACTAGATATGCTTTTAATTTCATTTAGTGCCCATGACTTTCATTTTGTGAATCACTTTATTATACTCTGGAAGAAAAAAATAAAAACTGAGTCCAGTAAACCTATCTTGTTTCCTATGTTCTCTTTGATTATTTGTGATTTTCTTCTTTTCCTTTTCAAAGTAACTTGAAAACACTGGAATAAAAGCAACAACAACAACAAAAAACCAGTAATACTTTCTTCCCCTAATTTCCAGTTTTTCTAAATAGAGAAAATTGTGTTTGTACTTCCTATCAAAATGGTCATAATGAGCAGCCTATCTCTGTGGGTTTTTTTGTTTGCGTGTTTGTTTGTTTTTTGCCAGTCCCAGGGCTTGAACTCAGGACCTGGGCACTGTCCCTTAGCTTCTTTTGCTCAAAGCTAGCAGTCTGCCACTTGAGCTACAGCACTACTTCTGGCCTTTTCTGTTTATGTGGTACTGAGGAATTGAACCCAGGGCTTCATGCATGCTAGTCAAGCACTCTACCACTGAGCCACATTCCCAGCCCCCTGTGTCTGTGTTTTGAAAAAATATATTAAAATTGGGAATGGTGGTTCTTACTATAATCCCAGCTACTCAGAAAGATCATGAGTTTAAGGCTAGCAACATACTTAGATGCTATTTCAAAAACAAAATGTTTTTTTAGAGTTTAAATATATTGCTATTGTGTGTTTACTTTCAGTAAACTGATCACTTTATAATCTCAACAGACGTATGAAAATGTAAAGTAAGATCAAAATAAGCAGTCCTTTTGGGTTTGTTGGGTTTTGGTTTTACTAAAATATACGGCAAATATTACACTTGTGTCCATCTTCCAAAAGTGAGATTTCAGATACAAGCAGGAACATCTGTTAGTTACAAAATGCAGATCCTTATCACATTGATAGTGCACGTATGATGATGCCAGGTATATTGGAGACTTGGGGTTTAGAAGTGATATCACCAATACAATTGGTTGCTTTTAGTAGTAATTTATATGAGGAATGTATTGAGGGCATTAGAGATAACTTTCTACCTTGTTTATGATCTCAAGCTGTTGCTGAATTATTTATTATCACATCGTGTTAGCTATTTTCCTTCTTGATAGATCATTTTACACCACAATATTGCCATTACCTAAAGAAAAAAAATGTCTCATCAGCAGTCTTAATGACCTCCAGAAAGGGTAATTTGATTCTTAAGATAGGTTTTCACCTACCCTGGTAGTTACAAGAAATTTTCTGAAAAAAAAAAAATTTCTGTGTGACACTAAGGTTATTTTTTCTCCCAAGCTATCAGAGATAGCTATTCATTCTTTCTCTGTAAAAAGGAATTCTTGGCAGCATTGCTTATGTTGTTCTTTGTGCATTAAAAGTTACATTTCTGGAGCTAGGCAACAATGGCCATGCCTCTAATCCTAGCTACTTCGAAGGGCTGAGATCTGAGGATCATGGTTCAGTGCCTGCTAGGGCAGGAAAATCTTTGAGACTATTAATCTCCAATTAACTACCAAAAAGCCAGAAATGGTGCTGTGGCTTAAAGTGGTAGAGCACTAGCCTTGAGCACAAACATGCTGGGATAGCACCCAAGCTCTGGGGCATGACCAATTAGGAGGGGTTACCCACTGTCTATAGAGGAGACAATAGTAGCTGGGTGAAAATAGTTGAGCCAACATAGAGAACACGGATAAGAGAAAGTATAGGATTGGAAAATAAATATTAAGTTTAGTAAAAAAAAATAAAACCCCATAGACTTTGACAAATACCTGTTTCTCTCAGATTTGTATGTATAATCTCATGTTTAAATATTGGCAACTCTTCTTTTTCTTCAACCTACTACAAATCTCACATCTGATTTCCCTGTACATATTAAATACTGGCTTTTATACTAAAATATAAGATTTTTTTTTTTTTTTTTTGGGTCCGGTTGTGGGGCCTGAACTCTGGGCCTGAGTGCTGTCCCTCAGCTCTTCAGCTCAAGGCTAGTGCTCTACCACTTGAGCCACAGCGCCACTTCTGGCTTTTTTCTTTTTGCTTATGTGGTGCTGAGGAATCGAACCCAGGGCCTTGAGCATGCAAGGCAAGCACTCTACCACTGAGCCACCTTCCCAGCCCCTAAAATATAAGATTTGTTTAGGGGAATGTAAGGTAGGTATTATACATTTTTAAATTTTAATTGCCTGTTGTAGTCTATCTATGTTTCTATAAACTGTTGCTAGTTAGCTTGGAGTTTTACATTATCTTTTTTTCCTCCAGGCCTTGAACTTTCTAGGCAGGTACTTTATTGCTTGAGCCACTCCTCTGTCCCTTCAATTGTGTGTGTGTGTTGTGTGTGTCTGATTTTTTTGCTTAAGGGTAATGCTCTACCACTTCTTTCGGTGGTTAATTGGAGGTTAGAGTCTTCATGGATTTTCTTTTCTAGGCTAGCTTCTAAAGTGTGACCTACCAGTTCCTAGGCAAACTTATTTTTGATATATTAGTGAATAGGACTATAATATATTATATATGTATGTATATGGTGCCTTCTTTGTTGTTCCTGAAGAGAGCTACTACAATAAGTAGTTTAATTTTCTTTTACTAGAAGAGACAGGTCTCCTTTGTTACCTATGCAATTCCTAAACTCCTGGATCTAAGCACACCTCCTGCCTAAACTCCCAAGTACCTAGGCAATTAGGTTTGGGCTAGCGAACCTGAGTAGTGAAATATTTAATCTACCTTATATTTTCTTTTCTTTGTTTTTTTTCCTACTATTTATTGTGATTTTTGTTGTTGTTGTTGTTGGTCATGGGACTTGAACTCAGGGCCTGGGCACTGATCGTGAGCTTTTAAAGCTCAAGGTTAGCACTCTACCACTTTGAGCCACAGCTTCACTTCAGGTAATGTAGGCTGTTAATTGGAGAGAAGCGTCGTCTCAAGGTCTTTTCTGCCAGAGCTGGCTTTGAACCTTGATCCTCAGATCTCAGGTCTCAGCCTCCTGAGTAGATTAACATTACAGGTGTGAGCCACCATCGCCCAGCTTATTGTGATCTTTTTAAAAATGCAAAACCAAAATTTGGGGCAATTAATTACATTCACCTGTTATATTTGCCACAATTTGTGGTTGGTTGGCTGATTACTTAACTATTTCAAAGGCTTTGCTATTGTCATCCCAGCCATTGCAGAAAACATAAAATAGGAAGACCAGTGTCCTATCATGGGACTCAAAATAACCAGTGCATAAAAGTCCTGAGTTTAAAATCTAGTGTCACTAAAATGTGCTTTATTGTTGCATATTTGCACACATCTCTTTTTTTTAAAGTTCCCAAAATTATAATGTCATTATTATAAATTTCTTTGTGAATTTATATATTGCATATGTTCTAGAAAGGCTTTGGTATGCACCCAGAAAATCTTGATAAACAAGGAGACAAAAGTAAAAACCAAAAAAGCCTCAGTTTCTGCTGGTTATTTGCTACAGCAAAATTAAGTCCACCTTGGATGGACATAGTCTATATTGCTGTAATTCCTGGATAACATCCTGTAGGCATCATCAGGAAAAAGAGGTTGATTTTCACAGGATCACAGAGATAACACTAGATACTAGTAAAGATAGGACTCCTAATAAATGCACATAATAAAAATAGGCATAGATATAAGCCCCTTACCATCCTGGTTTATATCTCCAGGTGAATGACAAGGCAAAGACCCAGGAAATAGCAAATTTTATAGAGGTTTAAAGAGATTTGGTGGACAATTTGGACATTTGTTATTATTTGTTAATATATACCCATTTAGGCTACAAAGAAAACTGAAAGCCTGACACTGAGTATACTGGCAGTATGACCTTAAAGCCTTTAGAATTTTAATTTTTAAAATTTTAATTTGTGCTTATGGATACCAATGATGTCTTTGCTTTTTAAAACAGGTAGTGTTAAGGAAGAGCACTTGTTTAGCAAGTAAAGGCCCTGAGTTTGGTCCTCAGCTCTGCAAAAATAAATAAATAAGTAGATAGATAGATAAATAAATAAAGCCAAAGAAAATGGCAATGCTGAATAAGGTGAATTTAGTGTCAGTGTTAACTAAAATTTACTATTGAGATTTTTACCCTACAGCAGTTTTAAAAGAATAGATAGGTAGGTTGGTAGTATATACATGCTTTTTAGTTTCTATGAATGATCTTCTGTATGCTGATTGCCTACCTTTTTTGCTCTCCTTTTAAAATAATGTTTTTTTTTTCCTTTGATGCAGATTCTTTATTCCTATGTGTATTGACCAAAGTTTAATGAGAAGAACTGTGCCCAGCTAGGAGAATTTGCTTCAAGAAATGGAATTATCTCATAGCTTATTGCTGAATGAAGAAGCGTGCAATCAACTAGGTGATGTTCAGAAGGCTGAGTTTATTTTTGAGTGGTTGAGATACTTGGAGAAGCTCTTGCTAGCAACCAGCAGGGTGAGGAAAATTACAGGTTTTTTTTTTTTCATAATTACAATCTATTTTCAAAAATTTTCAAAGAAATAATGTTCAATCCTCTGGTTTACTTTTTTACTTGTATCCAGAATAACCTAATAAGTTAGCTTTAATAAGGTAAACTTTGTTGAGACTTAATAATGAAATGTGATAAGTTTATGTTATGTATCTTTTGTCCCTCTATAAACATGAAGCCTTTGTGTAGTATAGTGCTAAATAATAGGTATGAAGAGCCCAGATACTGGTGGTTCACGCGTGTAATCCTAGTTACTGGGGAGGCTGAGAACTGAGGATTGCAGTTCGAAGCCAGCTCAGGCGGGAAGGTCTGTGGGATTCTTTTCACCGCTTAACCACCAGAAAGCCAGAAATGGAACTATGGCTCAAGTGCTAGCCTTGAGCACAGAAGTTCAGACAGTGCTCAGTCTGAGTTCAAGCCCCAGGGCTGGCACCAAAAAAGAAAAAAAAATTTATGAAGAATGAAAAATGAAAAGTTTGAAGTCTCCTGATAAATATACTACCTCTAAAAATCTCATAAGATGGGTACAAAGATAGAAAACTGGTTACTCATACATTGTTCACCTACATTCAGGAGTTAACCACATTTTGCCATGTTCAGTTCATTAATTTACTCAGCATTGTGAGGTAGCACTTCTAAATAATGTAGCATGAATTTAAAAATAGTGCATCCTTTTATATAATAACTATACCAGATAAAATGCAAACGTACTATAAAAATATTGCTCATAGGTGAGGCCTGGATCTAATATAATACTCAGCAATACAAAAAAAAATACCACTTGTGGTCAGTTTAGAACTTAACAAAAGACAAAGTGTTATAAAAGAGGAAAACAAACAAACTCAGCATCCCAAAATGTGTTCTTGTTCTGAGACTAATGGACACTATCTGGCTGTGGGTTCCAATGATAGAGTGTTTGACAAGTTTACTGATCTTTAGAAGAAAAAAGTAAAAGCAACTTGTAGATTTGAAAATTAAATTTAACAAAAGAAACAAAAATACTCTTAACAAATAATGAATTGGGGAATTTAGTTGTTAGTGAGTACCTGGATATTATTAGCTTTATAATGATATTCTTTACCTCTTTTGAAGAGAGCACAAAAGTAAAATGATACAACGTTATTAGCATTTACATATATAATCTTAGAAAAAGAAAATTTTGCTAAACTTAGGAGAACTCTGAACTTAAATTACAATATCAGCTCTGTAATGGGTTATAGAATACTATTTTATTTATGTAGATATATATACATATATATGTAGATATATATGTTGACAAAGGCTTAATAACTAAGAAGCTCTAGTTAAAAACACAAAGTTGTGTTTTGGGGGATTGTGTGTGTGTGTGTGTGTGTGTGCGTGCGCGCGTGGGCTTGTGCTGATTCTAAGGCTTGATTCAGAGCCTGGGCACTGTCCCTGAGCTTTTGTACTCAATACTAGCACTCTATCACTTAAGCTGCAGCTCTACTTTTGGCTTATCTTTTTTTTTGGTAGTTAATTGGAGATAAGACTCTCACAGACTTTCCTGCTCAGGCTGGCTTCAGACCACGATCCTCAGATCTCATCTTTCTGAGTAGCTAAGATTACAGGCTTGAGCCATTGGTGCCCAGCTTGTTTTCTGTTTTTTAAATACAGATGTAGAAGAAATACAGCTTTTGTCTTTGTTAACAGAGATTGGCATGGTTGGATTCAGAGGTTTTTGAAGATATGAATCAGCAAAACAACAAATTACCTCTTCATGTAACAGTTTGGCCATGTTATGAACTTTTTTTTGGGGGGGGGTCCAGTCGTGGGGCATGAATTCTGGGCCTGGGCGCTGTCCCTCTAGCATGCTATCACTTGAGCCATAGCACCACTTCTGGCTTTTTTTTTTTCCTGCTTATGTGGTGCTGAGGAATCGAACCCAGGGCCTCATGCATGCAAGGCAAGCACTCTACCACTGAGCCACTTTCCCAGCCCATGTTATGAACTTTTTTATAATTTCACTCAAAATAATTTTGTAGCTGTTTGCTAGTAGCTTATATATGTAATCTTAGCTATTCAGAAATCTGAGAACTAAAGGATCACAGTTTAAAGCCAGCCTGGGCATAAAAAGTCTATCAGACTCCAATTCCAATTAACTAGCAAAAAGCTAGGTTAGAGGTATGGCTAGCATGGTAGAATACCAGCTTTGAGCAAGAAGCTCTTTGAAGCCCTGAATTCAAGCCCCACTACTGGCACAAAAATAATACTAATAATATTTATTTATTTTTCATTATTTGGAGAATACATTATTAGTTTCTATAATCAAACTCACATTGTTAATACCTTTCATATTTAACAAGTGAGTTTACCATCGTATAAATGGAAAAAATTAATGTTTCTAGACCAATATGGCTATTAATTTCTGTATAATGCCAACTCAAGGAATCCATGGAACATTCCTCAATACAATAAAGGCTGTATATGACAAACCTACAGCCAGCATTATACTCAATGGTAAAAAACTAAAGCCATTTCCTCTTAACTCAGGAACAAGACAAGGATGCCCACTCTCTCCACTTCTCTTCAATCTAGTATTAGAATGCCTAGCTACAGCAATAAGACAAGATGCAGACATAAAGGGGATCCAAATAGGGAAAGAAGAAATAAAACTCTCCCTCTTTGCAGATGACATGATCTTGTATTTAAAGAATCCCATAGACTCCACTCCCAAATTACTCAAGCTGATTCAAAACTTTGGCAAAGTAGCAGGTTATAAAATTAACCCCCAAAAATCAATGGCTTTTCTGTATGCCAACAATGAGAAAAGTGTGGCTGAAATTAGGAAAGCAACTCCATTTGTAATAGCCCCACAAAAAATAAAATACCTAGGAATTAACCTAACCAAAGAAGTGAAGGACCTCTATGATGAAAACTTTAAAATCTTGAAAAAGGAAATCAACACAGAACTTAAAAAATGGCAAAACCTCCCATGCTCCTGGATTGGAAAGATTAACATCGTAAAAATGGCAATACTTCCCAAGGCTATCTACAAATTCAACGCAATACCTATCAAAATTCCAAACTCATTCTTCAAGGAAATAGAAGAAGCAATCCAAAAATTCATATGGAACAATAAAAGACCTCGAATAGCAAAAACGCTCCTCAATGGAAAGAACACTGCTGGAGGAATATCAATACCAAATATCAATACCAAACTCTACTATAAAGCCATAGTAATCAAAACAGCTTGGTATTGGCATAAGAACAGACCTCAGGACCAATTGAATAGAATTGAAAACCCAGAAATGAACCTACAGACCTATAGCCATCTAATCTTCGATAAGGGAGCTAAAACAATAGAATGGAAGAAAGACAGCCTCTTCAGTAAATGGTGCTGGCAAAATTGGTTAACTACATGTAGAAAACTAAAGCTAGATCCTTATATATCACCCTGCACCAGAATCAACTCCAAATGGATCAAAGACCTCGAAGTCAAAGCAGACACTCTGAAAACATTACAGGATGGAATAGGAGAAACCCTAGGTCTCCTTGGCTCAGGCCGAAATTTTTTGAATAGAGACCCGGAAACACAACAAATCAAAGAAAGGTTGGACAAATGGGATTGCATAAAGTTGCAGAGCTTCTGCATGGCAAATGACATAGCTAGCAAGATCAATAGAAAGCCCACGGATTGGGAGAAGATCTTCACTAGCCATACAATGGACAAGGGTCTCATATCTAAAATATACTTGAAACTCAAAAAATTAAACCCCCCAACAACAAATCCTCAAAGAAACAACTGCCCAATAAATAAGTGGGCGAAAGACTTAAAGAGAAACTTCTCTGAAGAAGAAAGAAGGATGGCCAATAGACACATGAAGAAATGTTCAACATCCCTAGCCATAAAAGAAATGCAAATCAAAACAACATTGAGATATCACCTCACCCCAGTTAGAACGGCAAAAATCAAGAACTCTAACAACAACAGATGCTGGAGGGGATGTGGACAGAAAGGAACCTTACTTCATTGTTGGTGGGAATGTAAACTTGTTCAACCACTTTGGAAAGCAGTATGGAGGTTCCTCAAAAGACTTCACATAGAACTCCGCTATGACCCAGCAATCCCACTTTTGGGCATTTACCCAAATGTTTACAAACAAGACCACACTAAAGCTACCAGCACAACTATGTTTATTGCAGCATTATTTACCATAGCTAAGATATGGAACCAACCCAGATGCTCCTCAGTAGATGAATGGATGAAGAAAATGTGGTATATATACACAATGGAATTCTATGCCTCCATCAGAAAGAATGACATTGCCCCATTTGTTAGGAAATGGAAAAACTTGGAAAAAATTATATTAAGTGAAGTAAGCCAGGCCCGAAGAAACATAGGTCCCATGGTTTCCCTTATTTGCAATATCTAGTATATGTATGAGTCAAGCGGAAAAGGTCAGATAATGTGATGTCAGGAAAATGAACCCTTAGATATGTATTTTAAGGTTTTTTTCTTTCATGCATGTGTTTCTAACACATTTATAAGATTATCTCTTTGTTGCTTTGTATGTCCCTCCCCCACAGTATAACCCCTGCTTTCACTATATTTGATGTCAGTATAACTTGTGGAGGAGATGGGGAAAAACCAGTTGTTTAAGGATACAGGTGGACCTGTTGCAACAATGAGAAGTACAAGTTGATATGTCCAAAACGAGCTTTACAACGTCGTTGGGGGGGGGGTTGTGGGGGGGGAAGGAGAAGGATTGGGATTGGGGGGGAGGGGGGAGGGGGGAGGCTGGGAAGGGATGTGAAGGGTAAACCAAAGGAGGAGGCTGCAATGCTTGGTAAGAAATGTACGCATTATCCTGCCCATGTAATTGTAACCCCTCTGTACAGTATGTTCACAAATAAAATTAAATTAAAAAAAAAATGCCAACTCAACATGGTAAACTGGGATACTTTTTCCAACGTTTCCAAAAATTCAAATAATATATATGTATGTGTATATATGTATACATATATGTATATATATCCATCCGTACATGCATATATATGGAGACCAGTAATAGCTATATATTATGCATCAATAGCAGCAACAGGTTTTACAGTCATATGAACAAATTAAACATCCAGCACACTCTTATTAATAAAAAGAAAAAAAGATTAAAAGACCCCAGAAAAATGCCAAGTTCTGTTACTGTTGTACCTGGCACCTTTTTTTTTATTAGCTTCTTAATCACATCTCGCTTGAGTAACATTAAAAACAGCTCTGATAAAGTACAGGCACTACTATATATAAATCAGGTACAAGGTATTTTACATTCACAGAGGTATGATGCAGTACTATCCTACTTCTGTAATACTAGAGGATACAATTTAAAAGGCATTAATGAAACTTGATTTTACTTTTCCAGCAGAAGGCCCAAAGGATGGTATGATGTGGACTCACTAGACACTATGTTGGAAATGAACTACAACTTGGGGGAAGGGAGGTCAGGTGGGGAAAAACTGGGAGAAACTGAGGGCGGGGGTAATACTGTTCAAAAAGAAATATGTAGTTACCAGACTTACATAACTAACTCCTCTGTATTTCACTATTACCAAAAAAAAAGAAAGAAAAAAATCAATAACAAAAATAACAAAAAAATAAAGCAAAAGAAAAAAAGAAATGCATTTTCTTAGATGGGATTTCCTTCCATTAGTGGCACAGTTCTAAGTACTCACTGTCTTCATAAACATCAGCTACAAACTATTTGAAAATGGGAGAGGGGAACAGGAAGGGAAAAAAACCCAAAACAAAATCCATACCCTATACCCCACAATCACTGGATTCGTACAAACATGACTGACTGAAGGCAAGCAAGATTCAACCTAACAATATTTTACCATAAATGTCATGTTTGAATTGTGAGAGCTCCATAAATAATTTTTTATTTTTCTATATAAAAGTTATCCTGGAGAATTATATACAATTGTTCTGAGTTTGGATTTTTTTTTTTTTTTTTGTTATCTTTCTTTCTAGAATGATGTAAGGGAGAAACAGAAGACTCTTGTTGAACAGCTCCTATCTTTGTTGAACAGCTCCCCAGGACCTCCTACTCGTAAACTCCTTGCTAAGAATCTAGCCATAATTTATAGTATTGGAGACACATTCTCTGTTTATGAGACAATCGATAAATGTAATGATCTTATTCGTAGCAAAGATGATTCTCCAAGTTACCTTCCCACCAAACTGTAAGTTAAACTTCAAAACTTAACAAAAACCAAAAAATTGCTTCCTTCTTGTATGACTTTTTATAATGTACCCAACCTACTTAATTATTTTGAAGCTTAATTCAAATACAGTTCTAACATATTCTTTAATGTTTAAAAGATAATCTAACATTTCTTGTTTGAGAATGTCCTTTTAGAAATACTTTGGGGGGGCTAGCAAGGTGAGTCAATGGTAGAACACTTGTCTTGCATTCATGAGGCCCTGGGTTCGATTCCTTAGCACCACATATGCAGAAAAAGTGGCACTGTGGCTCAAGTGGTAGAGCACTAGCCTTGAGTTGAAGAGCTGAGGAACAGTGCCTAGGCCCAGAGTTCAGGCCCCACGACCGAACCCCCAAAAAATATTTTGGGTGCTGAGTATGTAGCTTAATGATTGACTGCTTACCTAACATACACAAGGCCTGGGTCTGATTCCCAGTGCTTCAAAAATTAAAATTAAAGAAAGCGTGATTGGTAATATTGGCATTTATTTATTTATTTTTAATTTTTTTTTGGGGGGTCCGGTCGTGGGGCCTGAACTCTGGGCCTGGGTGCTGTCCCTCAGCTCTTCAGCTCAAGGCTAGCGCTCTACCACTTGAGCCACAGCGCCACTTCCGGCTTTTTTCTTTTTGCTTATGTGGTGCTGAGGAATCAAACCCAGGGCCTCAGGCATGCAAGGCAAGCGCTCTACCACTGAGCCATCTTCCCAGCCCTGATTGGTAATATTGGAAGAAAAAAGAAATGTACTCATTACCTGACATGAAACAGTAACTTCTTTGTATATCATTTTTATAACAACAATAAAAAAGAATAACAAAAATAATTCATGAATACATTAAAGTAATTGGAGACATTTAAAGTCTGAATTTGAGATTGAAAATATCCTAAAACTTTAGCAGTTGAATATTTAATAATATTTCAAATTATTCAGGTTTTGGATGTTCTTAAGTAGTAAAAATTGATGATAAACAGAAAAAAGCTTCCAAGGTCCCAAGGATAGCTTAGTTTCTTTCTCCATAGGATTCAGTTCCTTTCAGCCTGCTATTTTACAAAGGGCAGTGAGCCAGGTGTAATTTCACAGCAGTAATTCTATGGAATTTTTATTGGTCTGATTATTACCTTAGAACAGAATATATTCTCCATAAAGTATTCAGCTTTCAGTTTCAGTGAGAATTTTTGGAGAGTATTTGAGCTCATCTTTGACTATCTAATAAAAGAAGTTGTATTGAAATATTTTTCAGAATTGATTTTGCAACATTTGGTAGGGTAGAATATTTGGGCTGAGATTTAGATTCATTGAACACGGATATAGCCATTTAAAATTCTTATTATTAAAAATATAATTATTTTATATTCCCCTCAATATCATGCCTTAGAATGTAGCATTAGATTCTGGGAAATTGTACCTTTTCAAGGTAAAATTATATAGTTAACTGTGTCGACAAATAATTCTAAAACAACTGGATATCCACATACAGTAGGATAAGATACACTCTCAGATCACACTATACACTGAAAATTAACCCAAAAAGGATCACAGATCTAATGTAACAGCTAAAATTAAAACTTAGAACAATAAGATGCCAAGTTTTTGTCATCTTGGAATAAGCAATGATTTCTTAAGGCTGGACATGGATCATACCTGTATTCTCAACTATTGGTGAGACTTAGTTTGGGAGGATTGAGATTCAAGGCAAAAAAGTAAGACCCCATTTCAGCCAATATGCTAGGTATGATGGTTCATGCCTGTAATCCCAGGCATAGTTAGGAGGATCATCATCCATGGATAACTCCAAGCAAAATCTTGAGACCCTATCTAAAAAAGAACTAAAGCAAAAATGGATAGAGTTGTAGAGTGCCTGCCTAGCAAGCAGATAGCTCTAGGACTGCCAAGAAAAAAACAATTAATAGTGATTTTTTTCATATTCATGTTTTTTTCCTTCAACCATGACTTATTTCTAATTTAAATGTTGTTTCAGTGCTGCTGTTGTGTGTTTGGGTTCCTTGTACAAGAAGTTGGGTAGAATACTAGGTAACACCTTTGCTGATACAGTGGGGAATATTCTTAAGGCTATGAAGAGTGCAGAGGTAAGTAATAAAGTTCAACCAAAAAACAGCATTGCATTTTATAGGTTTATACTATTTTGAGCTCGTAAAAGAGCTTTATATATTACAAGCATATATAGTTGTCTATATAAATATATCTACAAATATTTCTAAGTGATGCACAAGATGTACACTATACATTGAATCTTTTTTAGAAATAGAATAATACAGCCAGGTGCTGGTGGCTCATGCCACCAGCAGGAGGCTGAGATCTGAGGATTGCAGTTCAAAGCCAAAAAGAAAGGCCGTGAGACTCTTATCTCCAATAAATCACTCAGAAAACCAAAAGTGGCACTGTGGCTCAAGTGGTGGAACGCTAGCCTTGAGCTGAAGAGCTAAGGGACAGTGCCCAGGCTGAGAGTTCAAGACTCATGACCCCGAGTTCAGTCCCCACCAGTATAACCAGAAGAAATGAAAAGAAAGAAAGGAATTCTGAGGGAACCTGATATTTTTTGGCATTAATTTTCTGAAAGCTCCAAGAAGATAATTCAGGAAAGAATTTAATCATAGAGTCTGATTTTATGAAAACTGTATGTCTGAAAGAAGCTTATTTACTAGGATATAGCCATTGTGAACTTTTATTTCCTTCTTATCTCCTTCAGTTAACCTATACTACATTTTACATGGTTAATAGAGGATTACTCTGTAGGAATCAGAAATGTTATGGTAATTATTTTATTACATCCTTCATTTTGTTGGTAGCCCAGGTTTGTCTTGAACTATAATCCTCCTGCTTCAACCCCTTGAAGTGCTAGGAATATAGGTATATTTCATCATGCCCAGGGTAGTGTCCTTATTTTTTACTTTTATAATTTAGTTAGTAAGGTATCGCATCATCTCAGATATTACAGATTATTCCTGCTGTTCACCCATACCCTGACTAGTCAGTGACACAGCACACTTGAAACTGAGATAAAAGAAAATTTAGAAATTTCCTATTAGAACCCATTCTATTAATCTGCCTGTAACTTTTGTGTTATTTTAAACAAAGATAGATTAATAGCGTTTCTATGCAAATAATGGTTGATGGTAATCTCTGTCTCCTTCCAACTTTACCTTAGCAACCAATTCCAGAGGTAAAATCATCTGGAGCCCTAGGAAAGCATCTGTGATAAAAACAGCTTCTGTTTTTTGTTTTTGTTTTTTTGGGTCCGGTCATGGGGCCTGAACTCTGGGCCTGGGCGCTGTCCCTCAGCTCTTCAGCTCAAGGCTAGCAACACTCTACCACTTGGGCCACAGCGCCACTTCTGGCTTTTTTCTTTTTTGCTTATGTGGTGCTGAGGAATCCAACTCAGGGCCTCATGCATGCAAGGCAAGTGCTCTACCACTGAGCCACCTTCCCAGCCCCTGTTTTTTTTTGTTTTTTTTTTTAATTGTGTACTATATGCCTGATAATGAGTGTTTACCTAAGGTTTATCTTGCCCTCATTTTGTAGATGGGGAAACAGCAAGAACAATTACTGAGAGTTAGAAATAAAATTCTAGATCAGATTATATTTGGAAGTGGAATATGGCTCAAGTGATCCTGAGACCCTATGCCTCTCAGTTCAAACCTCAGTACTGCCAATTTTGGGGGGTTGGTGTGTGGTGGTAGTGGTAGTGCTATCTAACCCCCTACTCTGTTCATGTGAAGCAAACACTATGCCACTAAGCAATATTCATGGCCCAGGTCTTTTTCGTTTTTTGCCAGTTTGGAGCTTGAACTCAGAGCCTGGGCACTGTCCCTGAGCTTTTGTGCTCAAAGCTAGCACTATCACTTTGAATCACAGCTTCATTTCTGGCTTTTTAGTGATAGTTGGAGATAAGAGTCTCATATATTTTCTTGCCTGGGCTGGCTTTGAACAACTGTCCCCATATTTCAGCCTCCTGAGTAGCTAAGATTACAAGCATGAGCTACCAGCATCTGGCTGGATCAGGTCTTTTAACCTAACTTCTAAGTTAAAATATTAACAGCTGGGAAATCTGTTGAGCATTTTCGGTATTTTCAGCACTCTTCTAAACATACTTACATGTATTAACTCATGTAGCCTCTAAGGTAGATACTATTATCTGAGCTTTACAGGGAAAGAAAGAGAATTTCCCAAGATTCTGCTATAACCTTGTACTCTTATTATGTTGCTTCAGTCTTATTATGTTGTAACAGTCTTTATTGAATGCTTAATAACACAAGGTTTATGCTTCTTATAGTTTTGTTAATCTTCACATTAATCCAGTGAATTATATTGTATTGAAGAATATTATGTATAAATAATACTTGTCAAGTAATGTTACCTGATACTAGCATGGGTTAGTGTACAAAAACTAATATATTTTTCAAATGAGAGATTCTATCAGTGCTTAATGCTTTCTTCACAGTGATTTTTTTTTTTTGCCAATTTTTGAATTTTTTTTTCCTAGTCTCAAGGTCGATATGAAATTATGCTAAGTCTGCAAAATATCTTGAATGGGCTAGGAGCTGCTGCTACACCTTGCCATAGAGATGTTTACAAGGCTGCTAGATCCTGCCTCACAGATAGATCAATGGCAGTTCGATGTGCTGCTGCAAAGGTAAAAATTTATATAAAGGAAATTACTTGAGATTTAACAAAAAGCATTAGTAACAGCTATGTCAGCTGCAACCTTGGTAATCACTTAGAACTGTCTTAGTTTAACATATTAGGAAACTCAGGCCCAGAAGATTATGTGAATTTCCTAAGGTTCAAGTAATTAATAACACATGGTCAAAGAGTATGAAGTTTGTTTCCTTGCATTACACTTTACATTGCTTCCCTTGTGGTAGTATGTAAACTGAAATATACATGTAAAGTTTGTGTTGTTTTGGATTTGGATTTTATTAGTTTTTTTTTTGTTGTTGTTGGTCATGGGGCCTGAACTCTGGGCCTGGGTGCTGTCCCTGAGCTCTTCAGTTCAAGGTGAGTGCTCTATCACTTGAGCCACAGAGCCACTTCCAGTTTTCTCATGGTTAATTGGAGATAAGAGTCTCACAGACTTCCCTGCTGGGGCTGGCTTTGAACCATGATCCTCATATCTCAGCCTCCTGAGTAGCTAGGATTACATGCGTGAGCTACCGGTGCCAGGCTTATTACTGTTTTTAATCATGCCTTTTTAATATAATTGGTTAAGAAGTACAGTAAAATTATTTTATTTAAATGTTGGAATTGTCCTCAAAGTTGCTTATGGTCAACAGATTGATTTGAAAGACAGTTTTCCTGAATTAAAAGTGAGTTCTCCTTTTGCCTTTGTAACCTTATTAGTATAATCTTATGACTGTTTATAATGTTTTCCTATAATCATTATATAAATAAGGTTATTTTAGTTGGAACCTATAGTTTTTATAATGCCTGTGTGCCTGAGCCTAACACTTATATTTTGTTTTCCTTTATTTATTTGTCCAAATGAGTAGTGTCTTCTTGAACTTCAGAATGAAGCCATCTTCATGTGGAGCACAGACCTGGACAGTGTGACTACACTATGTTTTAAGTCTTTTGAAGGTTCTAATTACGATGTACGGATTGCAGTTTCAAAACTGTTGGGCACAATCTTAGCTAAAGCTATCATTTCTAAACCTCCAGGCTCAGGTAATGCTATGTAATTCTTTTCAAAATAACTTTTTTCAGTTTTTCCCATGTTGATTCCAACAAATATATCAGCATTACAGATACCTATTAACTTTTGAAAACAAACAGTACAAATGAACTTTAGTTCATAGGAATTGCTGAAGGTCCTATTATTTTTATTCTCAGATAAAAAATTGAGGAGTTGGTTTGATTTTGTGATATCCATCTTGCTCTGTAGCCCTATAGCCCAGCCTGCCCAAGCTGACTTTAAACTTATAATCTTCTTGCCTCTACCTCCCAAGTATTGGGATTATAGGCATGTGCCACTATATTTGCTAAGAAGTTTTGAAGTGTTATCCTTCATTCATTATTTTTATTTATTTTTTACAGAAGTATCTATATGATGACATTTGTCTTGCTGTTTTCTAGATTGATACATGAAACAAATCATGTGGGTAGAAAGAGTTTTGCTTTGTTTTATCTTTTCACTTTTTTAAATTCCCTGTTTATATACTTCCAAGCAGTAAGCAAGGATAGGATATATTTTAAAACAGAGGCGTTTACCTTCATTTAATTTAGAGTGTATATAAAAACTCTAAATGGGGGCTGGGAAGGTGGCTCAGTGGTAGAGCACTTGCCTTGCATGCCTGAGGCCCTGGGTTCGATTCCTCAGCACCACATAAGCAAAAAGAAAAAAGCCGGAAGTGGCGCTGTGGCTCAAGTGGTAGAGCGCTAGCCTTGAGCTGAAGAGCTGAGGGACAGCGCCCAGGCCCAGAGTTCAGGCCCCACGACCGGACCCAAAAAACAAAAAATAAAAAAAATAAAATAAAAAAAAATAAAAACTATAAATGATTTGTTGAACTGAAAAAATACACCTATGAGTAACTAAAAGCTATGTCATTTTATCTCAATAATTTAACAAGTTCACAAGATGAAAATATAACAATTCTGTAGACCCTATGTCATTTTATCTCAATAATTTAACAAGTTCACAAGATGAAAATGTAACAATTCTGTAGACCCTGGCACCTCAAATAGCCACAGACTAGAAGCTCAAGCATCGCTTAGGAAATTTTAAGGAAAATAGAAACCCAGGTCCCACCTAACTTAATAATTCAAAATTCTTATTTTTATATAATCCCTGTATCATTGCTATACACTTTAAATTTTGATCTGCACTGTCATCTGTTTTTAGGGTGTTTTTTTTTCCTTTTTTTTTTTTATTGTGAAGATACCGTACAGAGGGGTTACAATTACATGGACAACGTAATGAGTACATTTCTTATCAAGCCATTGTTGCCGCCTCCTTTGTTTCCCCTTCCCATCCCTTGGGGTTTTTTTTGTTGGTTTGTTTTTTGGGTTTTTTTTTTTTTTTGGTCAGTTGTGGGGCTTGAACTGCTGTCCCTCTGCTCTTCAGCTCAAGTCTAGCACTCTACCACTTGAGCCACATTGCCACTTCTGGTTTTCTGAGTGGTTTATTGGAGACAAGAGTCTCACGGACTATCCTGCCCAGGCTGGCTTTGAACCATGATCCTCACATCTCAGCTTCCTGAGTAGCTAGGATTATAGGCATGAGCGCTGGTACCCGGCCTAGTTATCTGTTCTTATATAAAGGATTCTACTTTTTTTCTAAAGCAGTGTTTTTTAACTGGAGAGGAAAAGGCACAGAATCAGCTGGGAAACATATTAAAACCAAAAAACCTTCTCCCATTGACTCACAATGTAATTTGTAATATGAAAAATGTCTCTTTACTGTAGTTCTTCTAATCTCACAACTAAGTCTTTCTTATTTGGGGATATGGGACTCTGCAGGGGAAGAAGACAGACATACACACACAGAGTAAATCAGAAATGAAATTTGTTTTCAAGAGGTAAAATCTTAAGTCTCTTAAGACATTAAAATTAGGGATAGGTTTAATCAAACTTGAAAATGTAAATTTCTCACTTTTGCAAATGAAGCATTAGAAAACAATTGCAGCAAAAATAAGCAAAATTGATCATCAATGAATCATATTTTGTAAGGCAAGCGCTCTACCACTGAGCCCTCAATGAATCATATTTTGAAGCAGTAAAATAAGATTAAGCTTCTCACACAAAAAGCTTCTGTCCTACTACTCTTTTCTTAGAAATTCTTTTACTTTATATTTTTAAGTTGTATCTTGTGTTACAACTGAGTAATTTTCATGCAACTAAAATGTTCTCTAGATATCATAGATTTTTTTAAGTATATCACTAAGGTTTAACAACATAGTACTTAATAATTTGGAAAACAAACAGTAGTGGTTTGAACAGCTCACAGTGCACAAATACTATAAAGTAAAGAACTGAAACAATTTTCCTACTAAAACTAACAGTTTATCATACCAGGGCACTCAGAGGCAAAAATTAATGAATAAGGCCATGTTTCTGGCATTGTGGTAGGTTGATAAGAACTTATGTAATATTTTTAAATGACAGTGGTAGGAATTGTGCTATTACTTCCCTACAACATTTACTGTCACCATTTCAAATTGACTATTTTATGCCTGCTGCAAACTTCAGACCTTCACTATCTTTGTCTTTTGAGGCCTGTGTACAGTACATTCTTCTATTATATACTGCCTACTAGCATCTGTACCTGTATGCTTGGACTTTCTTTCTGTTAGTAACAATTATGATATCTCTTAGTACAGTGTGTCCTCTTATCTACTTAAGAATGTTGGTCTAAGTTTTCATTTTCTCTTGTATATATTTTTTCTCACTATTGAATTTTCCCCTGCAAAAATAGGATTCTGCCCCCTTCTTAAAATAAAAATCTTGGCCAATGACTGAAATCTATAATTCCAACTACTCAGATGATATAGTGCTCAAACCTTGATCCTTCAGATTTCCACTTCTTGGTTGGGATTAGTAAGTGTGTGATTTTTCATTGTGGTTTTTTTTCTTTTGTATTTCTCTAGTGACTAAATACGCTTTCATTTACCTGTTGCCCATTTATATACCTTCTGATTCAACAAATATTTATTGAGTGCTTATACTGGGCCAGGATATAGATATATATGTAGCTCATTGGTATGTTATTGAGAAAAATAGATAAATGTCCTTCCTTATGGAGTTCATGTATAGTCCTGCTAAACCCAATGAGAGGTTCTCAGTGATTTTATTTGATCATTCAGTAACATTTACATCAGATGACCTATGTCCTTTTTTTCTTGCCTTTTACTACCCATCCTCATGTGTGCTTTCCCTTTCTCCTCACCAGAATTCCACTTCAGTCTAGTTTGGTGATTTTTTTTGTCTTCCCCTAAAGGAAAAGATTCATGGACTATCACGTGATCTGCTCTTCCCTGTATAAACTTGCCTTTTGACTTAAATTGTTTTTATCGGAGATTCCTGAATCTTTTTTGGGGGGTGGGGGGTCTAGTCGTGGGGGCCGAACTCTGGGCCTGGGCGCTGTCCCTCAGCTCTTCAGCTCAAGGCAAGCACTCTTACCACTTGAACTGCAGCGCCACTTCCAGTTTTCTGGTGGTTTATTGGAGATATGAATCTCAGGGACTTTGCTGCTGCCTGGTCTGGCTTTGAACTGCGATTCTCAGATCTTAGCTTCCTGAGTGGCTAGGATTACAGACATGAGCCACCAATGCCAGGCTCCTTTTTAAGTAGTGGAATGACAACTAATAACTATAGAATGAACACTTATTAGAAAAGACCTTTTTATGGTCATGTGTTAATTTGCATAGGTAGGAATCCTTAGTGGGATTATTGGGTGAAATTTTGATGAGTTACAGGTTGTTACACCATCTTTAAGTATTGTCACAGGTTACATAGTAGTTCCAGAGGATAATTTTACAGTGACTATATCTAAGATAATTTATTTTAACTGTTCAAAGCTAATTTCACCCATGTAGGAGCAGAAAGGCACCAGGTCTGACATTGCTTTCTGTCGTTAGCTATTGAAGAGCCAAAGTCAACTGTATAATTCTCTTTCAACATTCTTAGGAAGAATCATACACATTTAAATCAAGAGTCATGCTGTAAAACAACTTGCTAGAAATCTATTCTTCAAAGTAATGAGGAAAATATGTTAAATTCCGGTGAAAAATATATGGGAATTTATTTTAGTATTCTTGGTTCTCTTTTGTAATGTTTAGGGATTTAAATTTATTTTATTTTTTATTTATTTATTTTTGCCAATCCTGGGGCTTGAGATTCCTTTGTTTGATCAAGGCTAGCCCTCTACCACTTGCTACAGCACCACTTCCAGCTTTATCTGTTTATGTGGTACTGAGGAATCAAACCCAGGGCTTCATGCATGCTAGGCAAGCACTCCTACCACTAAGCCACATTCCTACCCCCATGTTTAGGGATTTTTAATTATATTTTTTTTTAAGTAGTTGTACAGCTTATAAATACAATGCATCTTGACCAATGAAGATTTTTTTACATAATAAAGTTTTAAAAATATAATCTACAGACTGCATCTACTCTTTACTTTCTTCGCTGAACTACCTGAGGTAAAGAATCAATGGAGAAAGATCCCAAAGTGGTATAGACTTTAAGATATCCTTTACATATGTGGTGCTTCAGGGCTCATTGTGGTTTGGACTTTGAAACTTTGTGTTCCTTTGTGTGTTTATATATGTTCATTAATGTGTAGAATTCTCTGTAAATACAACATTTTATTTGAAGTTTTAGTTTTTAGTTATAATAACATTATTGCTTTTGGCAAATCAAGACTTAGATCAGTGGTAAAGAAGGCCCTGAATTCAATCCTCAGCACCAAAAATTTAAAAGACATGCATTACAATTTATAGTCTATAGTCTACAAAATATGGATCACAATTTTGTTTTGTTCTTTGTCTTAGCAGCCTCCCGTCAAAGTATCCGCAGAATATCTCTGGAAGAAGTTCTGGAATTACTAGGAACAGGATTTCTACGTGGCAGTTCAGGATTTCTTCGAGCCAGTGGTGATATGCTGAAAGGAACCAGTTCTGTCAGCAGAGATGTTCGAGTTGGAGTTACTCAGGTTGGAATTACAGACTAGTCTCTAAATGTAATTCTATTGACCTATAATGAAAGCTTTAGTTTTTGACTCTCCAGAAGCTATGTGAGTGAAGACAATTCTTAAGCTCATATTTACAGATATGATAAACCTATTTTTAAAAAATAGGTTATAAGAGGATCATCTTACCCAGAATGTGTCTTAAATTCCTAATAATGGAGCTTTATTTCCTTTGATTTATAAATTTTCAGTCCTGTGCTTTCATGTGTATTGTGATTTCATGTCTTTCACTGTGTTTCACTTAAGCTATTAGATACATATTACTTAGCATGGATAAAATAAACATTTTATATGATTATAATTCCTAAATAAAAATTATAGCATTTAATCTTTCAGTATTGTATTTTTGGTCCTAAACAAAATTTGAAAGACAATTTCTTGAGAAACATAATCATAGAATAAAATAATATACTGCATTCTTCCCTTGAATTACCTTTCTTTTTCTTCTAAATGCTTTTTTTAGTCTAAAACAAACTATACTTTTAGAAAACTTACTTTAGCCATTGTTTTATGCTTTATGTTCTGTTCATGGAAATGTGAGTTTTTCCTATATAATTTAAACTATGTGCTTCTGAGAAACATATTACTTTGGAAAAGTACCTTTATCTCTGGAATAAGACAGACCATGACATTTATGAAAAATAAAGAGCAGTGATTTGTCTTTGTAATTCTTACAGAGTTATGCTGAATTCTTACAGAGTTATGCTGTTAGAGCATACATAATTTTAATGATGCATTCTTATGTTTACATTGAGTTTTCCTATTCAAAATGTTAAACAGCTTGAAACCTTTGTTCAGAGAAGGCATGGACATACTTTGCAGATCAGTAAGCCATATCAGCTGTACTGAAAAATTGCAGAGGCTAGCCAAAATAAAACAAGGGCGGAATAATGAAATCTGGGTTGAAAGATTATGTGCTTCAGTTTTGCCTTTAACAAAGTGCTACATCTATGTATTTCAGATAGCTGAACTGAGGAAAGAATACAGTCTGTGGAGAAATTTTGTGAAAAATAAATACAAAAATTGAAATAATTTAGTCTTAAAGATGAAACTCTTAGCTGGGTGCTGGTAGCTTACACCTGTAATCCTAGCCATTCAGAAGGCTGAGATCTGAGGATCATAGTTCAAAGCCAGCCTAGTCAGGAAAGTCCATGAGACTCTTCTCTCCAGTAAACTACCAAAAAAAGCTGAAAGTAGAGTTGTGGCTCAAGTAGTAGAGTGCTAGCCTTGAGTAAAAAAGCTCAGGGACAGGGGCTGGAAGTGGCACAGTGGTAGAGCGCTTGCCTTGCATGCTTGAGGCCCTGGGTTCGATTCCTCAGCACCACATAAGCAAAAACAAAAAAGCTGGAAGTGGCGCTGTGGCTCAAGTGATAGAGCGCTAGCCTTGAGCTGAAGAGCTGAGGGACAGCGCCCAGGCCCAGAGTTCAGGCCCCACGACCAGACCCCCTCAAAAAACAAAAAACAAACAAACAAAAAGCTCAGGGACAGCCCCTATACCCTGAGTTCAAGCCCCAGGAACACAAAAACAAACCCAACTCTTTTCTTTTTTAGGCATATGTGGTATTTATCTCAACATTAGGAGGAGTGTGGCTAGAGAAAAATTTTGCTGTCTTTCTTTCTCACCTCCTGAGCCTTGTGTCACAGTTACATCCGAAAGCCACCCAAACACAGGTTGATGCCGTCTGCTGTCGACGATGTGTTTCCTTTATTCTTCGAGCTACTATAGGAGGCCTTCTTGGAGAAAAGGCTCAAATTGCTGCTGCAAAGGAGATCTGCCAGGCTATATGGAAGCTAAAAAAAGTTGCAGGTACAGATCCTACTAAGAGAGTCTGTTTTAACAATGACAAAGGAAGTATCCCATTGAAAAAGCTAGACAGGCATATTGCTTGTATTAATGCAGAAATCTTGACGATTGTTAATAGATTCCTCAGAAGAATACAGGTACTTCTTATGGTAGTTACAATAAATCACTTTAAACAATTCATTTGTTTTAGATCCTATACTGTGTATTAAGTCTCCTCTCTTATCTTGATATCAGTAGTACTAGAACATTTATTTTGGTTTTTGGTTTCTCATGAGTTCTCTTTTCTAGTCTCCCAGGCTAAAAGGGTGATATTAGATGCATATTGGGTTGCTTGACTTCATTTGTTTATATTAGCTGTATTCACTCTCTTGTTAATACAGCCACCCATTTTAAGATTCCAGTTATTGCTTTAAGGTTTCAGGCTACTCAGCCTGTTGATATACTTAATTTTTACCTTTATACTTTTCTGCTCCTAACATTCCTCCTGTGATGTGTTTTTATAGTGTTTTTTTTATAATATTGTTTCTCTGTCAGATGCTGTATTAAGTGATGGTAATTTGGAAACCCGGCTCAGTTCCACAGATGTAGCTGCCAACCAGCATATGCTGGTATGTGCTTTACAAGAACTTGGAAACCTCATATACAATCTTGGTACCACAGCCGCACCTTTGTTTCAGGATTCTTGCACAGGTAAATAAATGATTGGTAGTGATTTGTCTCAATATTTTTACTTGTACTCGTTGGAAGAAAATCTTCGTTTAGCTTGCTTGTTGTAGATTCCATTTTAGTTATGGAAAATTATAATGAAGATTATTTAAAATATAGACATATCTGAGGAGCTGTTTGTGTGTGTGTGTGCACACGTGTGTATGCGTGTGCACACGCACACACATACATTTTCTTCAGGCTTGAGCTCAATCTGGGTGCTGTCTCAGGTTTTTGCCACAAGCCTAGTGCTATACCATTTGACCCACAGCTCCACTTAAGTAGTTAATTGGAGTTTCATGAACTTCCCTGGCTGGCTTCAAGATCTCAGCCTCCTTAGTGGCTAGGATTACACATTTTTGAGCCACCAGTGCCCAGCTTTTTTTGCTTTTGTAATTCAGGGTTTCTCTTTTTTTTTTTTTGGGTCGGGTCATGGGGCCTGAACTCTGGGCCTGGGCACTGTCCCTCAGCTCTTCAGCTCAAGGCTAGCGCTCTACCACTTGAGCCACAGCGCCACTTGTGGCTTTTTTCTTTTTTCTTGTGTGGTGCTGAGGAGTCGAATCCAGGGCCTCAGGCATGCAAGGCAAGTGCTCTACCACTGAGCTATCTTCCCAGCCCTCAGGGTTTCTCTTTAATTCTCTCCCTGCCTTCCTTTCTGGGGATATTTAAGATATTATGGAAAAACTAGTGAGAAGTAAATCTGAAAGACATAAATCTATGTGGTATATGCAATTCAGTTTCTCCAAGAAGTTTATTGTTGTTTTATTTTTCTGTCTTTCTTTGAAAGCTATTTAATCACTTTTAAAGATTAACTTTGTAGCTTTTGACCTTGTAATAAACATAGTCTGCCTGATGAGAAGCATTTCATTGTATTTATATTTCTGTTTGCAAGACATTTAAATTTGGGACACATATTATTTTATAGCAGTTGTTTTGACAAAGGTGTATCTTTTTGGGGGGGGAGGGGGGGAGGTGCCGATCGTGGGCCTGAACTCTGGGCTTGCTCACTGTCCCTCAGCTCTTCAGCTCAAGGCTAGCACTCTACCACTTGAGCCACAGCGCCACTTCCAGCTTTTTTTTTCTGCTTATGTGGTGCTGAGGAATCGAACCCAGGGCCTCATGCATGCAAGGCAAGTGCTCTACCATTGAGCCACCTTCCCAGCCCCAAAGGTGTATCTTGAATCATAGAAGTACAGAAGTTTTTCTTGTGGCTGTCCTTTCTTTTTTGTCATTACAGTGGGTTATCCCACTTCAAGAACCCAAGGAAACCTTGGGTTTACCTTTTTGTTTTTAGATAAGGGAAATATGATGAATAAGAATATAGGTGGGCACTGGTGACTTGGACCTGTAATTCTAGCTACTCAGGAGACTGAGATCCAAGGATTGCGGTTAAACCAGCCTATTAACTACCAAAAAACCCTAAGTGCAGATGTGGCTTAAGTGGTAGAATGCTAGCCTTGAGCAAAAATGTCCAGCGACAGTGCCGAGGACTTGAGTTCAAGCCCCAGGATCAGCACAAAAAGAGGAGGGAGGGAGGGAGGGAAGGAAGGAATGACAGAAAGAAGAAAGGAAAGGAGAAGATGTAGGGAAAATAAATGTGCTGGAGGAATTTTTTTCTTTAACTTTTTTTTTTTTTGGCCAATCCTAGGGCTTGAACTCTGGGCCTGGGCACTGTCCTTCTTTTGCACAAGGCTCTACCACTTGAGCCATAGCACCACTTCCAGCTTTTTCTGAGGAATCGAACCCAAGGCTTCACACATGCAGCGCAAGCACTCTACCACAAAGCCACATTCCTAGCCCCATAGAGGAATTTTCTAACCGGAGAGCAAGAGGAAGTGTGACATTTTAAAGATGTTTCATTATATATTGAAAATTTTTAGTTTCTAGTGCCAAATTAATTAGATCTCAAGGTAAATTAGGGAAAATATTGACTTAGAAATAATTGTTCTTTTTTGTGTTTGTATATTACTTTAGGACAACTTCATAATATTAAAAGTAATTCCTAGGTTAGAAAAAGTTGGGGGGTTTTTGTTGTTGTTTGTATGTTTGTTTGTCTGGTCAGTTGTAGAGATTAAACTCTGGGCCTGGGTGCTGTCCTTCAGCTCTTCAGCTCAAAGCAACACTCTTCCACTTGAGCCATAGCACCAGTTCCGGTTTTCTGATGGCTAACTTGAAATAAGAGTTTCATGGACTTCCCTTCCCAGGCTGGCTTTTAAACCAGATCCTCAGATCTCAGCCTCCTAAGCTATGATTGTGGGCATGAGCCATCAGCACCTAGCAGAAAAAGTATTTTTAATTATGTGTCACTAAATATTTTTCATTTTGATTTGGCTTTTCATAAGAGTAATGTATTTTATATCTAGGTGACCATTCTTTTGACTGTTTTATAGCTAAGTTTTGTTGGCATAACTAAGTCATCATTTGTTTGTTCTGTCCTCTTAGGCCTTCTTGACAGTGTCATTTCAGTAATTCCTCACCCTAGCAATTGTGTTCGACTAGCAGCAGCTTGGTGTTTGCACTGCATTGCTGTGGCATTACCTTCATACCTGACACCTCTATTAGATCGTTGCCTTGAAAGACTTACTGTCCTTAAGTCTTCACCTGAAGCAGTGACTGGCTTTAGTTTTGCTGTGGCGGCTTTGCTGGGAGCAGTGAAACATTGTCCTTTAGGAATTCCTCATGGAAAGGGCAAGGTAATAATTTCATTCTCTACATAATAATGACCCAAGTTTTTATTATAACAGCATAACCTTTCCTTAATCACTCATGCAACACCATGCAGGAAGGCTGAGCAGTCAGTTGTACTGTACCTTAAATGTTCAGCTGTCGATACAATAGCTATGAAAAAGGGGGTGCATGGTTTCAAATGCTTTCTCCACACTGAAGGAAAGGAGTGACTTAAGTTAGAAATACTTCCATTTACTAACAAAATTTGTTCCTGGAAGTCTTTTTGCTACTCATTTCATTTTGTCATATAAATGTGTTTAAAATTCTCTTGTAAAGTACATTATTGTGAAATAAATACTAAACTAGATTTAATAACTTTATAAGTACTGGTATTGTTACTGCCTATTATTTCAAAAATTAGGTTACTTATAAAGTAGACAAAGAATTATTTTAATATTTTTCAAAAACAAAATGTTTTATGTAAAAAAAGCTACAGTTGTAGAATCAAGAGACATAGCTAAACTTGTACCAGATCTGAATTTAAATTATTATAAACTTGTAATTTTATTTTTTCAAACTACCTACATCCTTATTCTTTTTTTTTTTTTTTTTTTTTGGGTCCGGTCGTGGGGCCTAAACTCTGGGCCTGGGTGCTGTCCCTCAGCTCTTCAGCTCAAGGCTAGCGCTCTACCACTTGAGCCATAGTGACACTTCCGGCTTTTTTCTTTTCGCTTATGTGGTGCTGAGGAGTCGAACCCAGGGCCTCATGCATGCAAGAAAAGCACTCTACCACTGAGCCACCTTCCCAATCCCCTACATCCTTATTCTGTCTGCTGCAAAGTCCTAAAAATAAATGATAACCCAGTGCCTAAACTGTAGTTCTAAATAACTTTACCACCAAAAATTAATTAGGGGGGCTGGGAAGGTGGCTCAGTGGTAGAGTGCTTGCCTTGCATGCATGAGGCCCTGGGTTCGATTCCTCAGCACCACATAAGCACAAAAAGCTGGAAGTGGTGCTGTGGCTCAAGAGGTAGAGCACTAGCCTTGAGCTGAAGAGCTGAGGGACAGCGTCCAGGCCCAGAGTTCAGGCACCATGACTGGCAAAAAAAAAAAAAAATTAATTAGGGCCAGGTCTCGGTGGCTCATGCCTGCAGTCCTAGCTATTCAGGAGGCTGAGATCTGAGGATCATGGTTCAAAGCCAGCCCGTACAGGAAAGTCTGAGACTCTTATCTCCAATAAACCACTAGAAAACTGGAAGTGGTGCTGTGGCTCAAGTGGTAGAGCGTTTGCCCTGAGCTGAAGAGTGCAGGGGCATTGCACAGGCCAAGAGTTCAAACCCCACAACCAACAACAACCACAAAAAGAATTAATTAGGACTCCCATAGGAAGTACCTACTTCCAGGGCTGAGCAGAAACTACATAATGGAAGTCTGAGGCATTTTGTCATGGCAAACAGCAAGAAACCTCATTAAAGAATTAATAGGAAGGGGCTGGGAAGGTGGCTCAGTGGTAGAATGCTTGCCTTGCATGCATGAGGCCCTGGGTTCAATTTCTCAGCACCACATATGCAAAAAAGCTAGAAGTGGTGCTGTGGCCCCTCAAGTGGTAGAGTGCTCCCCTTAAGCTGAAGAGCTGAGGTACAGGGCCCAGGCCCATTGTTCGGGCCCCATGACCAACAACAGAAAAAGAATTAAAAGGAAGTAACTGATCGAAGAGAAGATAATTTAAACTTCATAAATAATGATGGCATCTTGGAAGCTGGTACCTCATACCTGTAACCATAGCTACTTAGTTCCAGGCCAACCTGAGCAAAAACACAAGACCCTATCTGAACATCAAAAGGGCAGGAACATGGCTCAAACAGTAGAATGCCTTTTTAAGAAGCATAAGGTCCTGGTTCAAACCCCAGTATTGAAAAAAAAGTAATAATCACTCTAACAGATTACAATACACTAGATCTATAAAGCTCAATTTTAATTATTTTAAAGTAATCCTCTAAAACTTACTACTACTTTAAAAAATGTCATTTTCTGGAAAATTTAGTGCTTTTGAATTTAACACTTTGAAACAGATAAATAAAACTTAGTAAGTAAACCAGTTCTACTATACAAAGAAATTTGTAGGAACTAAACAAAAAGTTTTTACAAAGTAGACAAAGCATAGTGTTTCTTTTTCAATAAATAGGAATTGCAAGTTGTCAGCAAATATTTGATGGTGATTCCTTATATTACCATGGCTCACAGACATTTAAATATTTTTTAGAAAATATATCACCATTATTCCTTTCTTTCTTTCTTTTTTTTTTTTGTTGGACGTGGGGCTTGAACTCTGGGCTTGGGCGCTATCCCTCAGCTCTTCAGTTCAAGGCGAGTAACTCTACTGCTTAAGCCACAAAGCCACTTCTGGTTTTCTAGTGGTTTATTGGAGATAAGAGTCTCACAGACTTTCCTGCCCGGGCTGGCTTTGAACCATGATCCTCAGATCTCAGCCTCCTGAGTAGCTAGGATTACAGGCGTGAGCCACTGGCGCCCTGCTTTCCTTTCTTTCTTATAGTGACAATAGTTTTATATGATATCCTCCAAAGCTTGGGCTATGCAAAAGAAAATTAAACATTCTAAAAATGTTTTGAGATTTGCCACTATCATTAGAATACAATGGTTGACAGCTTTGAGAGGCAGTATTATTCATTTAAATTTATTATTTTTTATTACTCATTATTTTAGTTATATCTAAACTGACATATTTTTGCTAAGCAAAGAATCATCATTGCATTATATTTAGTTAAACTTATACTGAGATCTCATTAAATGAGACAAGATTCTCATTTCATAGTTGACATTTCCTTCAGAGAGATTCTCCACTTGTCCTGATTTGACTAAAATCATTTGTTTTGAACTTAGTTTTAGGGAGCTTTTTCCTTCCACTTTTCTATGTAGTACAGGTTAGCCTTAAACTCAAACTCACAATGTAGCCAGCTAGGCTCAAACTCGTGATCCTCCTTATCTCAGCCTCCAAAGTACTAGAATTAAAGTCACACACCACCATGCCCTGCTTTCCTTTATTTTTTTGGCTACCACTTATAGATCATATAGGCTATAGGTAGTCATAATTAGTCCTAATTACTTTGGTTGGTTGTTTTAAAATACTAATCTTCCTCTCTGGGAAACATATACATCTCTTCCTACTTGCTGCTTTTTCAGAGGTCACTGGTAACTGATATTTTGTCATCTATATCACTACTGTCCTTTATTGTCTATAAGCATACCTTATCCATAAATGTAAAACTTTTTTTACATTTTTTCCGATTTTTTTTTGGTTCTAACACTGCTATTTTGTAGACTTTTACATTTTAATGAATCCCACTCTTACTGTGAAAATTCTATAGACAAGTTTTTGTTTTTTATCACTTTCAACTATGATAGTATTGACTGTGGGAAAACCACTATCAGCCATTTAAAAATCAAATGGTATATTTTCTTTTTTAAAAAGGGCAACTCCTATGATAAAACTTTTTCCAGTACTTATTCAACAAAAAAGATGTAGCCAGGCGCAAGTGGCTCATGCCTGTAATACTAGCTACTCAGGAGGCTGAGATCTGAGGATCTCAGTTCGAAGCCAGGCAGGGCAGGAAAGTCCGTGAGACTCTTATCACCAGTTAACCACCAGAAAACCGGAAGTGGTGCTATGGCTCAAGTGGTAGAGCTGAAGAGCTTAGGGACAGCGCCAAGGCCTAGAGTTCAAGCTCTACGACCAAAATTTTTTTTAAAAAAAAAATGTTTTAAACTAAAAGCAAATTCAAATTCTATACAGTTGTACTTGAATAGTCTTACAGTTTTGTCATCTGTGCTCTCCAGAGAATTCTGTGATCCTCTGTTCTGTAATATTTATCTTTGAAAACTTGAAAAAATTAAGTTTTCTGTAGGACATTGTCCTGTTATGTAGTGCAAGATAAATTTTGGAATCCTTATAATTAGTTACTAAAGTGTATCTACTAATATATAAGCTAATTTTTTTAATTTATCTGGTTCTTCTGTACATAAACAGATTATTATGACATTGGCAGAGGATTTGCTATGTTCTGCTGCTCAAAATAGTCGCCTGTCAGCTCAACGCACACAAGCTGGATGGTTGTTGATTGCTGCTCTGATGACATTAGGTAATATCCTGAGACATTTAACAAAATTAGGAAATTCTTGGTGTTTTCTAAGTGAAAGGATTCCTGTATATGGTTTGATGGTACTTTATTTTTGTTACTTTTAAAATTTTTTTAAATAAGATACAGTAGAAGTAGGAGATTCATGTTGACATTTCCATACATTTACACAATGTATCTGGATCAAACATACCCTTCGCTTTCATTCTCCCTCACTTACATTCTCCCTTACTTACCTTCTCCCTAAAAACAATTTCAACTATTTCATAGTTCTGTTTTCATACTTTGATCATAATCATTTTCAGTTATTTTCATTCTCCCTCTCCATTAGCCTTCACTCCTTCTACTGATACTCTCCCACCAAAAGTCTATTTTACTTTCCTGTTGTTCTTTTTTTTTTTTTAGTGTGTATTAATTGTGCCAGGGGGTTTCACCGTGGTATTTCAGATGTGCATGTACTGTCTTTTAATAACAATAACCCTCATTATTGCTTCTCTTTCCCTGCTTCTCTAGCCCCCTATTGATTAACCACCTTGAGATTTCTTATGCCATCTCCATAGTTTAAGAGGGAAGTTCCTGCTTAATAATAAAACTTTAAAGTATAATCGGTTTAGGTTCTCTGAAGTGGCAAATTGAATATTTTACAGGTCCTGCGGTTGTCACTCACCACCTTGCTCGAGTTCTACTGTTGTGGAAGTGTGTCTTTCCAGCATCTCCTAAAGATCTAGAAACAGAAAGGAACCGAGGAGATTCGTTTACGTGGCAAGTGACCCTGGAAGGACGAGCTGGTGCTCTCTCTGGTGGGTTGAGTTTAGTCTGTCTCTCCCTGTTTCTGACTTTCCTTGCCCTTTGTTTTTAAATGTATAGCATGCTTAATTTGCTGTAAAGGAAGAATCTAACTAGTAGTTTTTTGTAACTGAACATAATTGACTGAAGAGTTTGGTAATAAACCAAATTTGAGAAATTGAATCCTCAGGCTAATGAATGTATATTTTATTAGATAAGATTGCTTTGTCTTAAGAAGATAATCCTTTTTTTTTGTAACAAATTTGAATACAGGGCCTCATGCTTATGATTAGATGGCATTCTACCATTTGAGCCAGGTCTCTACAGCTCATTGCTGTTTTCAGAAATACTAGTGTTTGATTTAATTAGCACTAAGTATGGTTTCCATTCAGTCTATACATATATGAAAGTTATACTTTTAACAATATATAGAGACTGTTGAAAATAATACTCTACCATGAAAATATAAACTAAGGAAGGATGGATTTTCTTGGAAGCACTGGTTTGAGGTTTGTTTGCTCAAGGTATTTTTGCTCTTAAGAAAGAAAAACAAGTCAGGCGCCAATGGCTCACTAGCTACTAGCTACATTAGTGGCTGAGATCTGAAGATCACAGTTTAAAGCCAACCTGGGCAGGAAAGTCCATGAGACTCTTACCTCCAATAAACTATTCAGAAAAAGCCAGAAGTGGCACTGTGGCTCAAGTGGTAGATCATAGCATTGAGCACAGAGAGGCTCAGAGACAGAGCCCACACCCTGTGTTCAAGCCCCAGGACCAGGAAAGGGGAGTGGTGGGCGAGGGGGAGGAGAAAAGTAAAGAAAAACAAGCTGGGCACTGGTGGCTCATGCCTATAATCTTTGCTACTCTGGAGACTGAGATGGAGGGTCTCAATTCAAAGCTAGCCTGGGCTGGAAAGTCCATGAGATTCTTAATCTCCAATTAACCACCAAAAAAAAAGCCAGAAGTGGAATGTGGCTCAAGTGGTGGAGCCCTAACCTTGAACAAAAGAGCTCAGGGACAACACTCAGACCCTAAGTTCAAGCCCTAGTCCCAGGACTAGGCGCACACACAAGATAGGTAGGTAGGTAGGTAGGTAGGTAGGTAGATAGAGAGAGAGAGAGAGAGAGAGAGAGATTGATTTTGAATTTGATCTTGAAACAGCCTAATTTTAAACTTTAAACTCTCATTCTATTCCTCATAGGAAGTAACTTTTAAGAGAAAGTTCTTTGTTTCAGGTAGTGTCTGCTAGCTTTGTAGAACCAGGCAAACTAGCCAGGTCCCAGTCTTAATACCTATAATATTCCTAGCTACTAAGGAAGTTACCTGGTTTGGAGCCAGCCTAGGCAGACAAAGTTGAGGGAGTTACATCTCCAAGTAAGTAGCAGAAAAACAACAATTGCTCAAGTGGTAAATGCCAGCCATCAGGGAAAAAGTCCAAAGAGTGTTCAAGCTCCAGTTTAAAATTTTTTAAAAAGGGAAGCTAATGTCTATTTTTACTTGTCATCTTAAGAACAGAAGACATTAGAATCCTTTCTATATTAGTTTTGAGAATTTGTTTTGGGCACATTTCTTTATTTCTATAATAAAAATGCTAATAATGTAACCTAATCAAAGTCTGTCTTCATGTTGATTATACCCTGCTAAAAGCCTGTTCTCTTTTTCAGCTATCAAGAGTTTTGTTTCCCACTGTGGTGATCTCCTCACTGGGGAAGTAATTCAGCATCTCCTTCTACCACTTCCTTGTGCTGTGGATTTGCTAACTCAGTAAGGATTAGCTGTTTTGGTTGATGAAAGTTCTTAAGAGTAATTACTTTCTCTCTGATTGTATAATATCCCTTAAGTACATTAATAAGGCAAGTTTCTATGGTTTCAAAGAAGAAGACAAACATTTAGTTGTGATTGTTTTTGTCATTTTTGGCTAAGATCTTTTTTTTATTATTGTAAAGGTGATGTACAGAGGGTTACAATTACATTGGCTCAGATATTGAAATAAAAATACATATTAAAAGGAAAGGAAGTAGGTTAGGAGTGATGGGTGACAAAATTATCAGACACTTTGTAATCATATGCTGTTTTGTAGAATGGGAACTTCTTTGTACAACTACTTAAAGATAATAAAAAAGTTTAAAAGGAAAGGAAAATCAATTGAAGAATAGTGTACCTTTCATACAGGCAGATTTTAAATATTAAGCCTGTTAACTTTTTCAGGTATGATTTTAATTGGTTTGTTAGTGCTATTTTGTAGTCATAAGAACCAAATGCTTGTTAAGTTTCAGCTTTCTGTTTGTATTTTCATTGTTTGTGTTGTACATATATGATAGAGAAAAGCCAACAATATATTAGAGCATTTGTAATTTCTAAGATTAAAGTATTTAGAGAAAATCCCAAAAATGTTTGATGGTATAGCATGTGGACAGAAAAGCAAATTAAGGATATGACTTATAAAGCATAATAATAAAATGAACAAGTTAGAATTCAACACAAGACCAGGGGTTACAAACATTTCCTGTAAAGAGCTAAACTTTAAAGGTTATGAGGTCTTAGTTATAGCTGTTCAACTCTGTTGTTATAGCTCAAAAGTTAATCATAGCTGATATGTGAATGAATAAATGTGTCTTTATGAATAACTATTTATGAAAACAAGCAGTGGGCTGTATTTGGACCTCACTGTACTAGGGCAATAATAGTACACATTTGTTTGACCTATATTTCTGAGTGCTCTATATATATATATATATTTTTTTTTTTTTTTTGTCGGTCGTGGGGCTTGAACTCTGGGCCTGGGCGTTGTCCCTCAGCTCTTCAACTCAAGGCGAGCGCTCTACCACTTGAGCTACAGCGCCACTTGACCTATATTTCTTTTAGATTTCTCTTTTATTAGTTCATGAGCATCTGTATTTTCAATACTATTCTTTGCTGCTCATCAAAGTATTAAAAATGTTTTCTAGTTTTTTGATTAATAGACATTTCTAATTTGTGTCAAATTTACAACACTTTTTGTTGAGTACTTTTGTCGGTTGAAAAAGTTTTATTGTAAAGTTATACTTTATTATATTTCTCTCAGAATTGTTTCAAGTTTTGTGTTTCATGTTCATCTTTAATTCACCTCCAGTTGACTTTCATTTTTGAAGTGAAGTACAGATCATCTTTGTCTGTTTGGGGTGCTATGACAAAGTACCTCAGACTGTACTTTGAAAAGAACAGAAATTTGTTTCTCACAGTTTGGAGGATAAGAGTCCAAGATCAGAGCGCTGGCAGGTTCATTGTCAAGTGAGAGGGTGGCCTTGGTTTCCAAGATGGCACTTTATTGCCCTTTTCTGTGGAGAGAATGCTATGTCCTAATATGGCAGAAGGGATAGGAGGGCAAAAAGGAGCTCAAAAAAATTGAGCTGGCCACTTAATGGTTCACACCTGTAATCCTAGCTGAGATCTGAGGATCACAGTTCAGAGTCAGCCAGTGAAGGAAAATCAATGAGATTCTTATTTACAATTAACCACCAGAAAACTGTAAGTGGTGCTGTAGCTCAAAGTGGTAGAGTGATAGTCTTTACCAAAAGAGCTCAGGGACAATGCCCAGGTCCCAAGTTCAAGCCCCACAACTGACAAAAAACAAAAAAACCCTTACTACTTTTAGTGATGACATTCACTTTTGTTACATATTTCCATATATATATATATATATATATATATATATATAGTCTGTTTCTATGCTCTTTATTGTTCGTAATTGGTGGGTTTTTCTACTTCTAAGAAAATACATCTTTATAATAAATTGCAATATGTGAGAATAAACATTTTCACCTATTCTTATTTGCATGTATTTTGAGCCTTTTTTAAAATAATTTTTTATTGAGGTTAAGTGATTATGTCAATTTCACAAATTGGGCTGGGAAGTTGGCTCAGTAGTAGAGCGCTTGCCTTGCATGCCTGAGGCCCTGGGGTCAATTCCTCAGCACCACATAAGCAAAAAAGAAAAAAGCCGGAAGTGGCGCTGTGACTCAAGTGGTAGAGCGCTAACCTTGAGCTGAAGAGCTGAGGGACAGTGCCCAGGCCCAGAGTTCAGGCCCCACGACCGCACCCAAAGAAATAAAATAAAAATAAATTTCACAAGTTTCACAGTATTGTGAGATAGTGATACTTAAAGTCACAAACACATTTTAACCTTCACCAGGCATATTGTCATTATCATGATCTATAAAGTTTGTGAACTATAAGCTTTGACAATACAAGTGTTTCTTCCACATGGGATGATGTGTACATTTCTTTCTTTTTGCTTAGTGTAAGCTGCTCCCTCTTTCCCTCTCATTCCCTTCCTTCCTTCATGGAGCCCTTGAGTTGCTTAGTTCATTTTCATCAAAGTCCAGTGCAGCTGATGGTATTTTGGGCCTTATACTTTTGATCTTTCCCTGTTGAAATTTTATTTGTAATTGCATTACCTATACACATATGAAGCCTATTACAATGCCCATGAACATGACACTTCTGCTATAAATGGTAAATTTACAAAATATAAATATTTTCTGTAGTTAAAAAAAGAACTTTACCTAAATAAAGATAGGTCTTAAGTTTTCTTTCTTTTTTTTTTCCCCAGAGCTTAGGACTGAAGTCAAGGCCTTGCATTTGCCAGGCAAGTGCTCTACCACTGAGCTAAATCCCCAACAAGATAGGTCTTAAAAATTTACTGTTAATAGCTACTCGGAAGGCTGAGATCTGAGGATCGCAGTTCAAAGCCAGCGCAGGCAGGAAAGTCCCCGTGAGATTCTTTTTTTTTTTTTTTTTTTATTGTAAAGATACTATACAGAGGGTTACAGTTACATGAGTGAGGTAATGAGTACACTTCCTCTTGAACATTGTTACCCCCTCCATTGTTTTCCCCCTACCATCCCCTCCCTCCCTCCCTTCCCCGAGGTTCTTTTTTTTTTGATTGTGATTAAGTGATTACATAATTTCAAAGTCACAAGTTCATTCTAACTTTCCTGGAGCAAATTGTCTATCACAGTCTGTAATATATAACAGTGTTCACATGTTATATACCATATTTGTGATCAGCAGCATGGGGATATTTAGTAGTGGTTCAACCAGATGAGCGGGAGTTCTTTGTTTCTTAAGTCCTGTTAGTTTTGTCGTATCACCTAACCTTTTGGATTTAGCATCCACTTATCAGGGAGACCATGTACCGTTTGTCTCTTCGTTCTTGGCTTACCTCGCTCAACATGATTCCTTCTAGCTCCATCCATTTCCCTGCAAATGCCATTATTTTGTCATTTCTAATGGCTGCATAATATTCCATTGTGTATAGATACCACAATTTTTGGATCCATTCATCTGTGGTGGGGCATCTAGGTTGTTTCCATATCCTAGCTATTGTGAACAGTGCTGCAATAAACATGGCCGGTGAGATTCTTATCTCCAATAAGCCACTAGAAGACTGGAAGTGGTGCTGTTGCTCAAGTGGTAGAGCGGTTGCCTTGAATTGAAAAGCTGAGGGACAGCACCCAAGCCCAGAATTCAAGCCCCACAAACAACCAAAAAAAAAAAAAAAATTTACTGTTAAGCCAGGTGTTAGTGGCTCATACCTATAATTTTAGCTGCTTTAGGCCAGCCCAGGCAGAAAAGTCTATGAGACTTTTATCTCCAATTAACCATCAGAAAGCCAGCCTAGGCAGCAAAGTCTAAGAGACTCTTACCTCCAATTAACCATCATTAAGCCAGAAATGAAGCTATAATTCAAAGAGGTGGTACTATCCTTGAGCACAAAAGCTCAGGGACAGCACCCAGCCTCTGATTTCAGGCCCCACCAAAAAAAAAATCACAAAAATTACTCTCAGCTATTTTATATTTTTATTGTTATAATTGTTACATAAGTGATGTGTCTGATCTATTTTTTGCTACTGTATAAAATTATAATTGATCATACATCCAGCCAGCTTAATAAATTTCCTTACATTAACTATTAATTTGTAGAATCTCTTAGAGTTTTTTGGATTTTTTTGTTTGTTTGTTTGTTTTTTGGGTCTGGTCATGGGGCCTGGGCGCTTTCCCTCAGCTCTTCAACTCAAGACTAGTGCTCTAACACTTACATTTTCTCTTGCCATTTGTTTCCTCTAACACAGCGCCACTTCCGGCTTTTTTCTTTTTGCTCATGTGGTGCTGAGGAATTGAACCCAGGGCCTCATGCATGCAAAGCAAGCACTCTACCACTGAGCCACCTTCCCAGCCCCTCTTAGAGTTTTAATTTATAGTATTTACTCATTCATATTGTCTGTTTTATCACTGAACAGAAGCTTGATGCAGTGGTCCACAGCTGTAGTCTAAGCTATCCAGGAGGCTAAGTCCAGAAGTTTGAGGCCAGCCTGTGCAGCATATCTTTAAAAATGCCAATCTAGGAAATACAACCTTGTAATCCCAGGTGGAGGCAAAAGGATTGTAGTGTGAGGCCACTAGGGCTATCTAACTCAGCCCAGATAGATATACAGACACATAGATAGCCTGACCACATATGTGACCCTGACCCTGACCTTGATCTTTTTTGACCTTGAGAGGTTAGCACTATTATCACTTGAGTCTTAGCTCCACTTCTGGTTTTCTGGTAGTTAGTTGGAGATAAGAGTCTTGAGGACTTTCTTATCTGGGCTGGCTTTGAACCGTGACGCTCAGATCTCAGCCTCCTGAGTAGCTAGGATTCAGATATGAATCATAGGCACCTGGAAATTTTTGTTTTTTAACAGGAAAAAAAGCACAAAATCTTACTATATTCCTAAAACATGAGAGTATTAGATTCCCAGAACTAGTATTTTAAAATAAGGAAGGCAATTGATAGGTCTTGCTTTTTTTAGTTTGGGTAATATTTTAAGTCGTTTCTTTTTCTTTTTTTTTTCCTTTTACATGTCAGACAAACTGCCTTTCTAACAAATGCTTACATTTTCTCTTGCCATTTGTTTTCTCTTTGTACATTTCTCTGGCTAATTACTCTTGAACATAATATATTTCTGTTTTTGTTTGTTTTTTTTTTATAAATGCCCAGTCATAAATTTTGGAATTTTATAATACTATTAGTTTCAAGTCCCAGGCTGTAATACTTGTGGCTTTATTTTTGTTGCTTTGTTGTTGTTTTTTTTTTTCAGTCATGAGGCTTGAACTCTAGACCTGGGAGCTGTCCCTGAGCTTTTCAGCTCAAGGCGAGCACTTTACCACTTGAGCCACAGTGCCACTTCAGGTTTTCTGATGGTTAATTGGGGATAAGAGTCTCATGGACTTTCCTGCCCTGGCTGGCTTTGAACCATGATGCTCAGATCTCAGCCTCCTGAGTAGCTAGGATTATAGGCATGAGCCACAGGCACCTGGCTTACTTGGGGCTTTAAAGTAATCAAATTTGACTAATAGTTTTGTTGTGTAAAGTATGACTGGACAGTTAGCAGAATGATTTTATAACTTAGACTGTTAAAATATACTTTTTCTTTTGTTTTAAGGCTTTCTTCAATACTAAAAACATATGGAAGTCCATTGAAAACACCATCAATAGTTTATAGACAAAGACTTTATGAACTACTGATTTTATTACCTCCTGAAACCTATCAAGGTATGTGCCTTAGATCAAAGCATAGTATTGTTTCTGATTACCTGAAAAACAATAGTTGGCTCATTAAGTTGTTTTTGTTTTTTTTTTGGTTGGTCATGGGGCTTGAACTCTGGGCTCTTCAGCTCAAGGCAAGCACTCTACCACTTTAGCCACAGTGCCACTTCCAGTTTTCTGGTAGTTGATCAGAGATAAGAGTCTCACTGGGATCCTCAACTCTCAGCATCCTAAGTAGCTAGTATTTCAGGTGTGAGCCACCAGTGTCCATCCAATCTTAAGTTCTTGAATGAATGAATTAAATTGTCAGTTATTTAGCGACTTGTTTTTCAGAGGGTAGAGACCAATCCTAATTCACATGTTTACAGTTTCATAGTAAGTAAAATATGTTTTTTGGAAACCTACTTCTTCATATCCTGCTTTCTTTTCTCCTGAAAAATAGATCACTAGTTGTACTATGTGAGAGAGGATGAGTCACAAAGGCTGATTTGATTTTACAACTAGGTTTTTACATAGAATTTGTAATGTAAATATGATATACCTTTAGCTAGTTTCCTTCCAGAATGATATCTATAGTGTATTTTCCATTATTTTTAATTCTGTTAAGATAAAAAAAATATTTTATTTTTTATTTGTCAGTCGTGGGGCTTGAACTCTGGGCTTGGGCGCGGTCCCTGTGCTCTTCAGCTCAAGGCGAGGGCTCTACCGCTTGAGCCACAGCGCCACTTCTAGTTTTCTAGTGGTTTGTTGGAGATAAGAGTCTCACAAGACTTTCCTGCCCAGGCTGGCTTTGAACCGCAATCCTCAGATCTCAGCCTCCTGAGTAGCTAGGATTACAGGCGTGAGCCACCGGCACCTGGCTAAGATAAAATTTTAATATCAAACTACCAAAATATAATTGATTTTACAAACTTATGATGTGATTTTTTTTTGTTCTTGTGAATCAATGATGATTTTGTTAGTGAAAGTCTACAATTGATAAACTAAACTTAAAAAAAATAAAATTTGCTTGCCCCTATTTTAAAACCAGTTCTTGAATCTTTACTATAAAATACAGTTTTAAAAAATAAAGCCAGATGCCAGTGGCTCATACCTATTATCCTAGCCACTCAGAAGGCTGAGAACTGAGGATCGCAGTTTGAAAGCAGCCCATGCAGGAAAATCTGTGAGACTCTTATCTCCAACAAACTACTCAAAAAAGGCCAGAAGTGGCACTGTGGCTCAAGTGGTAGAGCACTAGCCTTGAACATAAAGAGGATCTGAGACAGCTCTGAAGCCTTGAGGATCTGAGACAGCTCTGAAGCCTTGAGTTCAAGCCTCAGGACCCACAACAACAACATCAACAACAAAAATTCAGTATTGCTCTTACTGATTAAATCAAGGTATTTGTTTTAAGAGTTAAAATTTAAAAATTATCTTCTATGGGAAATTTTTTTGTTGTTTAGTATTGGTAATTTTCAGCCAACTATATTAAGTCGAGTGCTTATAATTCTAATGGACTGATGGTGTGGTTCAAGTTATAGAGCACCTGCCTGGAAAGCAGAAGGCTCTGAGTACTATCCAAAAAAAATTAAATATGTTTACATTTATATATTTGTTAAAGTACATTTATTTGTTTATATCCTGCTGAGAATAAATGAAATGTAATATGTACCAAATTATTTCAAAATATTAACCTATAACCTCTGCATTAGGTGAATAATAATGTTCTTATTAACCCTCTCCTTGGTTCACAGATATACCTATTAAAATGTTCACTACAAAGTAAGCTTTTAGAATATATGTACTTCTATTTTTTTTTATTTTTTATTTTTATTTTTTTTTGGGTCCGGTCATGGGGCCTGAACTCTGGGCCTGAGCGCTGTCCCTCAGCTCTTCAGCTCAAGGCTAACGCTCTACCACTTGAGCCACAGCGCCACTTCTGGCTTTTTTCTTTTTGTTTATGTGGTGCTGAGGAATCGAACCCAGGGCCTCATGCATGCAAGGCAAGCACTCTACCACTGAGCCACCTTCCCAGCCCGAATATATGTACTTCTAAAGAACTGAAAAAAAATAAACATTTCTCAGACTATATTAGAAGAACCATTTTTATATGCAAGGCACTTTGCTAGAAATTACATATAATGTGTCTCACTTAACCTAGGATAATACAATGATCTTGTTAGATTTTCCTTCCTTCCTTCCTTCCTTCTTCCCTTCCTTCCTTCCTCCCTTCCTTCCTTCCTTCTTCCCTTCCTTCCTTCCTTCCTTCCTTTCTTTCTCTCTTTCTTTCTTTTTCTTTCTTTTTTTGTTGGTCATGGAGCCTGAACTCTGGGTCTGGGCACTGTCCCTCAGCTCTTCAACTCAAGGCTAGTGCTCTACCACTTGAGCCACAGTGCCACTTCCAGCTTTTTCTGCTTATGTGGTGCTGAAGAATCGAACCCAGGGCCTCATGCATGCGAGACAAACACTACCACTGAATCACCTTTCCAGCCCCAAGATTTTCCTTTGTTGATAAAGGACATTATATCAACAAACTCAAGAACAGACATGCAGAAAATACAAATAGTGTCAAGATTGAGATGTAGCTTTGCCACATGCTGCACTGCCTCTTGATTAAAGACATAAGAAATAGTCACAGTTTAGTGGTAGATCTGTATTATTCTATGCTTTGTTATAAAAGCTAAGGGGATAATTTCTGTGTTTCATAGCTTAGGAAGCTGTTAGATTGTACATTCCCCTCTATTAATTACCATAAAACTTAATTTTTTTTACTACATTTGAAAAATAAGTAGGCTTTTTTTTACTTGATAGTAAACATTTATGAAAATAAGAATGCCAACTTAAATCTGTAGAGTATTTCCAATGATCATATAAATCTACCCTTGAGGAATTAGACTTAGAGTCAGGGATTGTTTTGTACTTTTTAACTTTTATAACTTTGAATTTGAATTTAGAAATCCAATTTGGACTCCTAAAGGAAAAATGAATATACATATGTACGTGTATATGTGTATATATACATGTACATATATATACACATAGACACATACATATATTTTTTATTATTATTTTGTGTGTCTTTGTGTGTTTCAGTCATAGGGCTTCACCTCAGGATCTGGGTGCCATTCTTGAACTTTTTTTTTGCTGAGGCTAGCATTCTACTACTTGAGTCATAGCTCCCAAAAGCCATTTCCAGCTTTTGTAGCTGGTTAATTGCAGACATAGACTTTGTTGCCTTGACTGGTTTTGAAACTCAGTCCTCAGATCTCAGCTTCTTGAGTAGCTAAGATTACAGGCATGAACTACCAGTGCCTGGCTGGGGTGTTTATTTGTTTTTTTTAATGTTGTATAGTAGATTTTGCCATTTTTATTAAAGATTATTTATATTTAATATGATTGATAGAGTTTCATTTAAAATTTATATGGTTAGTGTCGTCTACAATTTGTTTTCTATTCTGTTTATTAATTGCTTTTCTTTTTCTGAATTCATTTGGATTGTATATTTTTGTGAGATTTATAGAACTTCTTTATTATTATAATTGCCTTTCTTTTTATAAATTAATAGTTGCTTTAGCAGTTAAGATATATATGTTTAACATATTATAGTCTCCTTTCTAGTATGGTTATACTACTTACATAGCATGAGAACAGAATAATAATATGCTTCCATTCCTTTCCTTCTGGTATGTAGGGTTTTGTTTTCATCCATTTTACTTTTATATACAGTATAAACTCCATATTGCATAAGTTAATTGTTGTTTTTGTCCTGTCTTTTTCAAGTAAATGTACTTTAGTAACATGAATTAGAGAAAAATAATGACTAAAAATTATATTATGGCTATATCAATATTTTTATGTTTCAACTCAAAATAATTATTTGCCATACTTTTCATCTTCCCAATCAGAACACTAGAAGTAATGGTTATTTTCCTGAGGATGTTTGCATTTAAGAAAAAAATTAATTTCTATTTATATGTATGATGTTTGTGGAACATAGTAGTTATAACTTTACCATTAAAGTATTGTCATTTTAAATAGCATAAATGTGTTTACTGTATTATTATATTTTACATATGTACTAAATAGCTAGTGCAATAATAACATAGCAAATTTTTAATCTTTAACACAAAAGTAGTCTTTCTATTTATTCATCTACTTCATTTAGAAAATATGAATAACAAGTTTAACATTCTCATCCTATCAATTGCTTAAACGTATTGTCAAAAAGTCATTTTACACGACATTAGTCATGAAGAGTATTTTAAGAATTGGAATCACTTTTCTTCATGATTGTCTAACTAATACAAATGCTTATCTTAAAAGTTACTTAGAGCCAGGCACCAATGGCTTATACTTGTAATCCTAACTACTCAGGAGGCTGAGATCTGGGAATTGTAATTTAAAGTCAGTCCAGGCAGTAAAGTCAATGAGGCTCTTATTTCTAGTTAACTACCACTTTAATAAGTCTGAAGTAGAGCTATGGTTCAAGTGGTAAGTGTGCTCGCCTTGAGCAAAAAAGTTCAAGCTCTAGGACTGGCACAAAAAGAAAAAAAAAGTTACTTAGTTTTCTGAAGACTTTAATGGAAAAATTGAGGTTTTTTTTTTGTTTGTTTGTTTTTTACATAAGTCAGGTAGTGAGTACATGTCCTTTTAAACAGTGTCCCTTCCTCCCTCGTTATCTCCCAGTTTTCCTCCTCCCAGCTTCACTTTGCCCAGAAACAATTATGCAAGAACTCACTTTAAGAAATAGATTTTTTTCATGCCAGACGCTAGTTGGCTCATGCCTGTAATCCTAGCTACTCAAGAGGCTGAAATCTGAGGATCATGGTTCAAAGCCAGCCCAGGCAGGAAAGTCCATGAGACTCTTATCTCCAGTAAACTACCAGAAACCGGAAGTGCGCTGACTCAAGTGGTAGAATACTTGCCTTGAGCTCAAGAGCTGAGGGACAGTGCCCAGGCCCAGAGTTCAGGCTCCATAATTGACAAAAAAAAAAAAAAAAGATTTTTCCATCATTTCTACTTAG